TTAAAGTTAAACAAAATATTTTTAGATTTTTGGAAATAAGATAAAAGGAAATAAAATAAAAGAAAAGAAATATTATTATTATTATTATTATTTTATTTTTATATATATATATATATATTTTATTTTTAATACCAAGATAGAAGTAACTAAATAAAATAAATGAAAATAAAAAATAAAATAAAAATAGAAATAGGAAAAAGTCAAAAAGTCAAAGAGTCAAAGGGGCAAAGCTGTGATCGATCGAAGATGAAGTTCGATCGATCGAACATAGTTGTGATCGATCCGAGATGAAATTCGATCGATCGAACATGTAAAATTTTGGAGATCCCGAGAGCATGCATTTTGGAATTTGGATGCAAGTCCAAAATTTTTCTAAGTGTTGGGACTCAAGATCGATCGAACCACATGTTGGATCGATCGAAAGGTAGTTCGATCGATCGAAATAGTTTACGATCGATCGAACTTTTGAAAATTTGGAGATCCCGAGAGCATGCATTTTCAAAATTGATGAAAGTTCAAAATTTTTTCTAAGTGTTGGGACTCAAGTGGAGTTCGATCGATCGAATCCATAGTTGGATCGATCAAAGAACAATTCGATCGATCGAAGGTGCTCTTGTGATCGATCGAACTGGCACCAAATGCCTAATTTTGAACTGAAAGTGCAGAAAATCCTATGCTAAGCCCCAATGATGGTAACAAGAATGAAAATTTGAAAAATAGATGGAAGAATGTACACAAGAATGAAAAATAAAAAGAAATGAGGGAGGAATAGAGTTGTGAAACTTTACGAATACTAGTGTTTAACGTCTCTAGCAAGACGTTAGGTCAACTCACTAATCAAATGAATCAAAAACTGGATATGAAACATCCTTATTGACCCTCTTTTCACTTTTCTCATTTAATGTCCCACTTATGACAATAAAATCATCCTCCAAAAGAATGACTTGAAAAGAAATAAAAGAGATGATATTGTTCCTTTCATCCACGATCTTGAAAACAAAATCAATCATGGTTAGGCTTGCCTCTTTGTTGTGTTCTTGAAACACATTCAAATGATCATTCACTTTGATAATCGGTGAGGCATTGTCTTTCAAAGAATCATTTGGATTAATAAGAAACACCCTCTCTTCATCCCTCCTCTCCTCCTCATAAATTACCATTTCCTCACCTTCTAAGTAAGCTAAGGAGTCCATTAGAGAGTTTATTTCATTTTTAGAGCTTTTAAAGTCAAAACCACAATTTTTATACATTTCCAAAAGACACTCCTCAAGAGGGTCATTAGAGATAATAGAAGGAAGGCCCTCTTCAACAAGTTCCTCCTCCTTCTCTCCTACCTCAAGTGTGGTCAACATCTCCTCACTCTCTAGAGTAGCCATCTCCGAGATAAAATCATAATCAAAATAAGGAAAGTCCTCATTAATCATGTTATGTTCTATTGGATTAGCCACTAACTCACTTGCCACTTCCTCCTCTATACAAGATAGAGTGCTAGGCATTAGCTCACTTATTTCATTCTCCTCACTCTCATCATCCTCATCTATATACATTGAAGTTCTTGCCATTTTTTCATTTGCCTCTTCCTCCTCCTCTTGATGAGAAAGAGTACTTGCAATTTGCTCAACTTGAGCTTCTAAGTTGGCTAAAGCTTGAGAATGAGAATTAATAAGTGAAGTGTGTGAAATATGCACATCAAGTAAAGCTAACACTTTTTCTTCAAATCCGGGTGAGTACTTAGAAGGTGGTGGAATTGATTCATCATAAAATGGTGGTGGAGGGCAATAGTCATAAGAAGGATTAAATGAGTGATCAAGTCTATAATAAGATGATGCATGAAATGAATTGGACTTAATCTCATAAGGATTAAAATGTGATGGAGGAGCATAAGGTGAAGGGATGTAATTCCCCCCCAAACTTGGATCAAACAATTCCTCCATTCACAATTAAAACCCAAATGCAAGAAAAAATTGGCCTCAACAAGGGCCTATGCTTGGACAAAAATTTAGCAATAAAATGAGCCTCAACAAGGGCTATCACAAGCATGCAAAGAAGTGAAACAATTAAAATACAAGAGTGCCAAGAATTGCTCACAATGGTCCTTTAGCACTTCAACTCCAAATTTAGCTTTTAAGCTCCAATGATTGCTTTAAGTTCCAAAGTTCGCCTTCCTTGTAGTCAAGTACCTAATTGAACAAATAATAATGAGAATCAAGAGAAAAGAATATACAATGGAAAATAAAATAAAAATAGAAGCAATCTAATGAACACTATTGTCTAGTTTAATTCCAACAAAACCGTTAATCCCCTGCAACGGCGCCAAAATCTGACGACGGCCGTTCCAATGCGCCAAACTGAATGTAGTGAATGTGTGGTTTAAGAAAAGCCTTTTATGTCAAATTTAAATTTATAAAAACCACTACCAACACTACTACTAACGTAGCCAGAGTGAGTAGGGATCGTCCCAAGGGATTATACGTGTTGGAATTTCAACTTCGACTCTAGCATACTAAATAATTGCAAAAGAGAATTGGGTTGGTTGATTACTTCTAGAAAAGAATTAATTAAAATACAATAAGATAAAGAGTAAGTAAGAAGGAAAGGTCTTGGGGTGTAGAGATCACCACCAAACAATACTATTCCAAACCATAATCAAGTGACTAATGAGGGAAATGAATGTGTTGCAACAATGTTGTGTGTGTAAAAGACATTCAATTAGTAAGGGTGACTCAACAAGTGCAAATTGTCTCAATCAACATGTGTGAGGCCACAATACATCTATTGGTAGAGGAATATATTGTCTAGACATCATGTGAAGAGAACAAAATATCAAATCAAGTCATTGAACCTTTCATTAAGCTCATAGTCCAAGCAATCCATAAGGATGACTTAGTTAAACATGCATTATCTAAACATCATGTGAGAGGTACAAAATATCTATTGGGAGAGGAATAAATTGTCTAAACACATGTGAAAGATACAACATATCATAACTAGTCATTAATCCTTCATTAAGCTCACAATCTACATACAACACAATATTAGAGGAATATGCCATTTGGACTCACAAGCATGGAACATCAAACATCAAGAGTAGATTGTCCTCCCATCTAACATTACACTAAATCTACACTACTAGCATGAAAATAAAGCTATCTAGACTAGGGGAGAGGCACAAACCATCAAGAATAGGCATAAACCATCAAATGAACCAAAATAGCATTCATTAAGCATATCATCTTGATAATCTCTAGATCTATAGCATCAATACACATAGACATGCATCAAAAACACCAAATCTAGAGATAAGCACATGAATATCTTACTCTAGCATACATAGACATATGGATAGAATAGAATAGTCAATTGGAAGCATTAAACCATACAAACCATGAAATAATCAAGATTTATATATACATGAATATCAAGATGTATCATACAACACTAATCCCTCAATAATACACAAGATTAGAGTATAGAAAGCATGCTTGGGGCTAACTCTAGCCCCAAGAAGATGTCTAGACACTCATGGTAGTGATGATCCAACCTTCAAGGGCTAACTCCATGGCTGCTCCTTGTTGGTGAAGATCTCCTCCAATGGTGCTCTAGCTTCCCTCCTTTCTTCCTCTCCAAGAATAGCCTCCAAGGTGATTTTCAATGTGTGACAAGAGACTCTAGACTCTCTTCCAAAAAGTGTATCATATTCCTTATATAGGTAGGTCAAATACACCCTATGATGAGCTGTGGTCGTGCAAGGCATATTCTCCAATGATTGGGTGAAGGACGAAATAAATGAGCTGGACTTTAAATTTTTCTCGCTGAAGGAAGTTCGATCGATCGAACCTTAACTTGGATCGATCGAAGATGGGTTCGATCGATCGAACTGCATCTTGGATCGATCGAAATGGTCTGACTCCTCCGGATAAGGAAAAGGCTGAGATATTTCGAAGATATTTATGGGGAAAAGGACAAAAGTGGTTGGTAGGCGTACAGCTGTGGATAAGATCAATCATTTGAATAGGACAAAACAGGGTTCGATCGATCGAAGGTGATGTTGGATCGATCAAACTTGGAATTTCATCAAAGGCCAAGGTTGAATCTATCGAGAAGCACTGTGATTGATCATAGATGTTCGATCGATCGAACTCTAAGTTAGATCGATCGAACTTTTCAGCTGCACAACTTTGATTCCTTTTTGCTCCTTGCTTTCTCCACTTTGCTCCCTCCTTTGGTTTATCTCAGGATTGCTTCAATTAAGCTCTTATTTGGCTGAGTTAGCTCAATTTTGGGATTAGTGCCTGAAAATATAAATAACACGTAATAAGTTTAAAACGGCAAAGTAAGATAAATAAAGATACTAGAATGCTTAAGCTTAACGTGTTTAAATGCGCACTTTTCAGTGCTCATCAATCACCCCATTTCATTAATGGAAGATCACGTTGAAGACCTTGGTCATGTAGACCAACAAGACATGTATCATCCAAATGTTGTGTAATAACCCAATAATGTGCAAATTTCTTTGGGAATGCCAAGGCCACCTCTTATGCAAGTCCCTCTTGGAATGTCAAGACCGATTTTGGTGCCACCTCCTTTCGTAGGTCAAGTTCCTCTTGGAGCTCATGTAAAGTAACAGTTTCCCAATCCTCCAATGGTACTCGAAGACCATTATGTGCCTAAAGAATATAATGCCCTAACATGCTTCCAGCTTCCTAATTTTAAGGCCCATAACTATGAAATTAAACCTTCCATTATTCAAATGTGCCCACTTTTCTTTGGATAAAGCAACGAGGAACCTTATAAACATTTGAATCAGTTCTTGGAAGTTTGTTCCACCATGAAAATCATGGATGTGCCCGAAAAAGTATTAAGGTTAAAGCTTTTCCCTTTCACTCTTTGAGATAAAGCTAAATATTGGTTTAACAACTTGGGGGCTAACACCATAACATCTTAGGCACAAATGCAACAAGAATTCCTAAAGAAGTATTACCCCGCAAGTAAAACTAATTCCATGCGCATATCAATTTGTGAATTTTCACAAGGGGATGGAGAACCCCTACATGAAGCGTGGGAGAGATTGAACGACTTGCTAAGGAAATGTCCACATCACGATGTTCCAAAATGGTAATTAGTTCAATGCTTCTAAATTTTCCACTCATGAGCAAGTGAATGCCATAACCACTTTGAGAAGTGGGAGAGTAATTGATAACAAAGTGGATTTGCCTAGTGAAGAGGGTGAGCCTTTGCAAACAAGTGGTTGTTCACCTTCCATTCCAAAGTTTATTCCTTTTTCTCCAAGGCCAAGTGATCACATTGAGGATAAATCATCATCATCTCACAATCTTGAAAAGTCTTATGAGCCAAAGGTTCCATTTTCACAAGCTTTGAAAAATTCTTCACCTTTTGGAAAACAAGAGGGCAAAATTCATGAAATGATGGAAGTGTTTAGGCAAGTGAAAATCGATCTTCCTCTTCTTGACGCAATCCGTCAAATTCTCCCCTATGCCAAGTTCTTGAAGGACTTGTGCACTCAAAAGAGGAAATCCAAAAGCCAAGCACCAAGGAAAGTTCTCCTCACCGAGCATGTAAGCTCCATTCTTCAACATAACATTTTTCCTAAGTTCAAGGATCCCGGTTTTCCGACTATTTCATGCACCATTGGTGATCATGAAATCAATTGGGCTCTTTTGGACCTAAGAGCGAGTGTCAATCTTCTTCCTTACTCAGTGTATCTTCAATTAGGTTTAGGAGAATTAAAACCCACGTCGGTAGTTTTGCAACTTGTCGACCGGTCTATTAATAAACCTCGTGGGATTATTGAGGATGTTCTCATTAAGGTTGATAAATTCTTCTTTCTGGTCAATTTTGTGGTAATTGACACGGAACCGGTTTCTAACCCAAAGAGTCAAATACTCATCATTCTTGGCCGTCCTTTCTTGGCTACGGCCAATGCAAATATTAATTATAGGACGGGGGTTATGGAAATATCTTTTAAGCACATGAAAGTCAAATTGAACATTTTCAATCCTACCCCAAATTCTATGGAAAAGCAAGAGCAAGTTAATGTTGTTGAAAAAATGGTCGTGGATTCACCGCTTGTTAATCCATCAAGTGCAAGTGATCCTCATTCCCATGATTCTACTTCCAAATCAAAATTCAAAAAGGCAAAGAAGCCTAAATGTCCTTCTGTGGGTGTTGATAGAGGTCCACCAAGTTTCATTGTTTCAAATCCAACAAGTTCCTTAAGGAATAATTTGTTGGGTGGGATTCAAGGACATTTCCATCCCATTGAGAAGGGAAAGGCAACAAAATTTTTTGACCTGGGCTAGAAAGTAGCCTAATATCTTGCTAGAGACGTTAAACACTAGCTTCGTAGAGTTTTCAAACTCTATTTCTCCCCCATTTCTTTTTATTTTTTTTATTCTTAGGTCATCTAGATAGGTTCCATTGTGCATCATTGAAAAATTTCTGGCATTTAGTACCTTTGAAAAAATTTTGCCTTAGAAAAAATTTCAAAATTTCATTATTTTTGTGCCCAGGCAGTAGTTACGATCGATCGTGATTTGCAAAGACCCATTTTGCCTGAAAAACAACTCTCAGGATCTCTAAGTTCATCACGATGGATCGTACCACTGCTTATAAAAATATATATATAAAATTATTGCATTCCTTCCTTGCATTTTAATTTCTTACATTTTTTTTTCTTGCATTTTTTTTTCTTCTTGTGTTTTAATTACTTGTGTATACATTGATTGTCTTTAAAAAAAAATTAAAAAATAAATAATAATAATAATATAATATATTATAATATAATATAATAAAAGAAAAAGATACTTGATCTCATATCTCCCTTTCATCTTGCGCTATATTGCCTTATAGTGCACGATTTGCCCTTCTTTATCCCATTGTGATATTTGATGTGAGTTTGCTAGTGTGGTTATTTAAATAGGTTATTGATTCCAAGTTTGGGAGAGACTCTTTTATACTGGATCATTGCCGGCCTTCTTAGGCTTTGCCACCACGGTATACTCTTTCCATTTTTTCAATTGTTCTCTTTGCACTTTGAGGATAATATGTGGTTTAAGTTTGGGGATAAGATGGCTTTGTTGCACTCTACCTAAGTTTGAGACTTAATTGCATGATTGAGATTTGAGATTCACTTTAGCGATGATTTTGATCTTTTGAGGCCTATGTTCCATTGAATTACAACATTTCTTGTCATGAGAGTTCAATACTCCTTGAATGCCTTTGGATGCCATTTAAAAGCAAATTTTTCAAAAGTTTGATTTAATGCTTGTTTTTGTGGTTCACATCATCTTGTTTGTGAGAATGCTTTGAAGATTGATTCTAGAGTACTACATTTGCCTATGCGCACACTAACATTTATTTGTGGGGTACATGCTTAGTTGATCATTGTTTTGGTTAAATCCCAATTGAGCTAATAGGCTTTGAAAGCTTTCATTTTTGACAAGATGACCTTGCATGCTAAATAACAAACCCTTTTACCGAGTAGCGGGGATGCTTGCCTCATTAAACATTGAATTCTTGCGCAGAAAAGTGAAGGGCCTAAACAATAGTTAAAAAAAAAAAAAAAAAAAAAAAAAAAAAAAAGGGAGCGCTTCTCACCAAAGGTGGGGAGTTAGAAAATGAAAAGATGAGAGTTATTTTGATTTGTAACCTAGTTGATTTGAGCTTGTAAGTCCTTAGAGGTGTCTTTACACCTAATGCCCTAAAGTCGTTCGGTTTGGGAGTCATTGACCTAACGCTCGTTAAATGAATCTTCTAAAGAGCTTAAGAGATCTTTACATTGCACCATACTCTTTTCTTTGATCCAAAAAAAAAAAAAAAATTGAATAAGAAGGTTCATTCTTTGTCTTGATGATTGGTACTTGATTTGTGCGCTTGTTTGAGACCGATTGTGCCCATTTAATTGATTTGCTAAGATAGTAACATATTTGATGCCGGTTCACTCAAAAGGATGTTAAAGTTGTTTTGATTTGCATGATTATATTGCTTGATGTGTGGAGGACCATATTTGCTTGTTTGTTGTTGGAATTTTGGAAATTGCTTAAAGATGGTTGAAAAGTGGCGTACTTGATGTAGTTTTCCTTCAATGCTTATTTGGAATATTGGTGCCTCTTAAGTGAGAAAGAGCTTAATATTTGTGGGTATCATTTTTAGAAACCCTCACGAGACTTCACTCATCCACTAGGGGTAACCTAGGGGTTCAAAAGGCTTGTTGCATATGCTAAATGCAACCGTGATCCCCACGAAAATGGTGTTATCTTTTTATTGCTTTCTAGTTCGTAGTTGTATAGTTGTTCATTTCCTTTTTATTTCGTAGTTCATTGCTAGGGACTAGCAATATCTAAGTTTTGGGATGTGATAAGTGTTTAAATGTTGCACATTTTAGCCCTAAGCTAGGATGTTTTAGTCCCTTCATTTATCTTTATTTTTCCGTTTTCGTTCTAATTTATGTTTTTGTCTATTTCAGGTCAATAAGGTTCAAACGGGCTAAAAATAGTCTATTAAAGTCTTTTTAGAGTCAAGCAGAAAATCTGAAAAAAGTTCAGAAAAATTGCCCTGGAACAGTGTACAATCGATCGCAATCTTCCATGATCAATCGCAGGCTACGTCATCGTTCGTAGCCACATCAGCAATTGGATAAGGCTGTCAGATCATCGTTCGTTCATATCACAATCGATTGTAGACAAGTGCGATCGTTCGCAATGTCATGTCAGCACCAACTCAACGGATAAGACAGCCAGTTATCAAGATAAGAATGCCACATTAGCTACGATCGATCGCAGATATTCACGATCGATTGCATAATTCCACGATCGATCGTGATTGGTTGGTAGCAAGCTATTTTATTCCCTACTTCACCCGATCTTCACCTACCAAATGGCTACAGGATTGGATCCTTTGGGGGCTCATTTCTGATTTATTTTGCACTCCAATGAGCTTGTTTAAAAGGGGAATTGAACCACTTTTGTTCAGGTTAGCTATTTTTCATATTATTAGCCATAGTTAAACTTTAGTCACATAGTTTTCTCTCTCTAGAATTAGGGTTTTGGGAAGAAAAAAAAAAAGAAAAAGAGGCAAGAACATCCAAATCTCTAGGGTTTCTACCAAGAAGACCAAGGAAAAGAATATGAAGCCTTATTTGGGGATTGCCCTTGAGGGTTGTCACGACTCGAAAATTCTAATAAAATCCTCAATTCATTCAAATACAAATACATTAAAATACACCCAGGATTAAAAAAAAAAAATGACCTCTTTTATACAAAGTCAATTTCCTCAAATATACACAAAAATTCTCCAAATAAATAAAATATATCCTGCAACGCCGACTCTTCCTCCTAAGCCTGAATCTAGCAATCCCCATTCATCATCGGTACCTGAAACTGGAGGGTGGTGAGACAAAAAGTCCAAGTAGAAAAAACCATAACAAGAATTTAATGGAGATTTAACAAAACAGCTTCACAAAATATACATAGTCAGGTGAATATATAAACAAAATATGCATTTAATTAAAAACATTTAATAAAACCATTTGAAATAAAATCACTCCAAGCCATTCAAGGTATAGAGAACCCTACTACTTTCCTTCCTTACATTATCTTTTCAATTCCTTTCATTTTATATACACTCCATCAGAACCCACGTGAAGGCAAAACAATTTTGCCCAAAAAGTCACCCAGTGGGCCCTGCGAATCATCACAATTGTTTTCTCAATTCCCACTCTCGACAACCAACCATTTGTTGGTTTCCTTCCATTTGACATAGGATTATATATATATATATGTGTGTGTATGTGTGTGTGTGTGTGTGAGAGAGAGAGAGAGAAACAAAAACAAAATCCAACCCCATAATATCTCTTCCAGTGGGACCCACGAATCCTTTTTCTTTTTCTTTTTCTTTTTTTTTTTCTTTTTTTTTCTCTATTTTTCTTTTCCTTCTGCCATCTTTCCGTTCCACCCATCACTCCATCACAGCACACAATATATATATATATATACACACACACACACACACATAATCAAACTAAACCAAACCCATTCATCATCTTTAGGCGGGACCCGTGCCAAACCACTACAATCTCAATTTTCTCT